TCCCCTGTACCGGTGTGTGACATGTCCCCTGTACCGGTGTGTGACATGTCCCCTGTACCGGTGTGTGACATGTCCCCTGTACCGGTGTGTGACGTGCCTCAAGCTCGGTCCCCTCCCGGCCCGGCCCCTTTAAGTGAGGCCCCGCCTTCCGCCGCGCTAGCGCTCCTCCCGCCTTTCCCCGCTGCCCATTGGCCGGGCGGCGTTGAGGCGCCGCCCCTCGGCGCCGCCAGCCAATGGGAGGAGCGCTGGATGAGCCTGTGGCCAGGTCGGTGAGAGGCCGATGGCGGCGGGTCCGTGAGGGGGGCGCGGGGCCGGGGGAGAGGGGCGGGAGCGAGGACACTCTGAGGGGACCGGGGACACCCTGAGGGGACCGGGACTCCCCTTAAGTGCTGAGGAGAGCGGAGTCCTCTGAGGGGCGCGGGGACCCCTGAAGTGCGGAGGGGAGCCGGACACTCTGAGGGGATGGGGAGGATCGGGGACCCCTGAGGGGATTGGGACACCCCTGAGGGGATGGGGGGGGATTGGGGTCCCTTGAAGGGCTGAGGGTATCGGGACCCCCTGAAGTGCTGAGCGGGTCGGGGTCCCCTGAGGCGCTGGGGGAGCTCGGGACCCCCTGAGGGGCTCGTGGAAGAGTTTGTCCCTCCCTGGAGAGGGCGGTGTGTGGGGGGAGGCCGAGGTGTGCGGTCCGGGATCACCCGGCACAGCCGAGCCCCAGCTGTGGGTGCCCTGCCCGGTGCTAATTAATGCCATTAAATGGTCGTGGTTTCACCTGAAGAATCCATTAGGGGTAGGGGGAGAATATTAAGGTCAATGGGGTTCCATGAGAATGCGAGGTTTCCGTATCTGTACCCAGCTCTGAGAACAAATTGTTTGTGGAGCTGAGGATTGAAGAAAACAAAAAATAACAGCTTGCAGCTGCAGGCTGAGCAATAATTAAAATGCTTGGGCAGGTTCTTGTCTTTATGCAGCAAAATGGCCTTGTCAGTCAGGTTGAAGTTAAGTGTAGCTTGAGCTGTCCTTATTTAAAAAAAAAAAAAAGTACACTTCCAAGAAATTAAAATGTGGGTTCTCGAAGTGTAGACAACTAAGGACTTCAGGAAAAGTGAGTTAAAGGATAATTTAGTTGAGTGTTTTGGTAGGAGATCTGATATGTTCCATGGATTTTTTTGACCATAATTAAAGACACTTCGCTCAAAGTGACTCTCTTGCTTTTTAAATGAAATTGTAGGAAGTGTCTTTTAAAATATGTGAAGTGGTTTTATGAGGTGTTTTGTCCACAGTTAGACAAAAAAAGAAAAGGTTGGGAAATAATCTGCTATAATAATAAAAAAATTATATACTACTACTGTGATAATAATAATAAATAATCTACTATAATAATATATTGCTACAGTTTGTACATAACTTTTTTGATATTACTGTTAGAATGGCACTTTTACCCTTGGACAGAGGAAAGGATTGTGTGTTCACAGACTGCTGTGCTTTTTGTCCATCCTCTGAATCTCACATGCTGAGAACTGAACACTGGTACTGAGGGAATTAAAAACGTCTGGTTTTTGTTCCAGGTGCTGGTGTGGAAGATGAGGCTGAATGAGAACCGGACAAGATCCTTCCAGGCTGCTGTCACGGTCCACAAATACCCGGGCAGGCAGGTCTATGTGTTTCCTGATGGCCCATCTGACTCGGAGGAGTCCTCGGAGGAGGAGGAGCTCAACGTCATGGAATTGCGGCCCAGGGGGAAGGAGCAGCAGCGGGGCAGCACTTCCCGGGACAGGCCTGGAGATGTGGTGCTTCTGGAGCGGGAGCTCACGGAGGGTGACAGCCTGAACAAGCTGGCCCTGCAGTACGGCTGTAAAGTAAGAGCCTTCTCTGGGTGGGGTTGTCACTTCAGGGGCATTCCATGTGTACCGTACTTTCCAGAGATGTCCTGAGAGTTTTGATGCTGAAAATACACTGTGTTTTTCATGAATGGTCAATATCTGGGTGAAACTGGAGAAAGGCAAAAAAATCCCAGACAGACACAAAAAAGGAGTTGTTCAGCCAACAGCTGAGGAGGGTGTCATCAGCCTCACACCCTGCCTGACCTGCTTTCCTGTTTAATTTGAGTGACTAAGTGCAGGTTGTACTAACTCATTTAAGTGAGGGCAAACATTAGGAAGCTGAGCTCAGAAATGAGGGTCAGGGCTCTGCTCTCAAGGAACATTTAAGAGTTTTTGCAGCAAATAAAGCAGTACAAAGAAACACCACTATGATAGGTCTGGCTCGGGGTGGGATTTGGGGTTGTTCTTTAAAAGGTATCAGTTTACATGTTGCAAGGAAGGTCTGAGTGTAAGGGGTGGAGTTGGAGAGGTGCCAAAGTTCAGGTCCCAGAGTCCAGGTGCTGTCTGTGTGTGGGTTTTGATTGTTTGCTGTCGTGCCCAAAGTGTGCTCCATCAGCTGCCTGGGGGCAGGAGGGAGGGGTGGGCAGGGTGAGCTGTCTCCGAGTTGGAACACTCTGCACAGTATCTTCTCTTTGTTCCAAAGCAGGGCACTTCATAGAAAAACTGTTGAAAAGTTTAATTACCTGCTCTGAAGATGAGAAGCCCCCCGTTGTTTAGCAGTTGGAGCTGTATTTTTAGAGCCTCCTTTATCCGCAGGCTGGGCTGTGATTAGAAAGTTCCATGTGCAGACAATTGGACAGTGACCGGAGTGGGATAATGATACAGCTCTGGCACTGCTGCTGCACTGCTGTTGCAGTTGGTCTTGCCTAACCACACAGCAGCTGTTGGTGCAGCTGAGGCAAGAGGGCTTAGAGGGATTGCAACAATTCCTCCCCTCCCATTCCCTTAGAGACAAACACAAAACAAAAAAGGCACCCGTGTAGGTTCTGCTGCGGGGCCTGGTGTGTGCGGAGAAGAGTCTGGGAGGACTTGAATCGGCTTTGATCGGTACCAAGAGAGCCCGGGAAGGCAGAGCTGCAGCTTTGGCTGGCTCTGGAGCTGTGACTGAGCACTCCTCTCGCAGCAGCAGTTGTGTCACTGCCGCTTGGGCACAAACAGCAGTTTGTGAGCTCAGAGGAGGAAGGTTCTGAACAGCTCTTTGGTTGATGGCACGAAAAGTCCTGCTGTGCCCTCTGGCACTGTAACTCTGAGGAGTCAGTCCTGTCCCTGCTGTGGCTGCTCATCTACCTCTGCTACCCCATTCCTGCCCCACTTGAAGGCTGCTGGGCCCGTCCAGGGGGAAAGCTGGTAGGGAGGGACCAGGTAGTCAAGTGTTCTCCTCCCTCAGGAAAAAAACTGTCCTGCTGCCTCCCTTCCTTCCAGAAAGGGCATTCCTGACTAGTTCCAGTTAAATTGGAGAGGTACAGAAATCTTTATCATAGGAGATTTGTGTATTTGTCTGTTTACAGGCACTGATCAGTTTTGCTGCGTTTTGTTTTGTTTGCACAGTTAACCAGCTCCTGAAAGGCCCCCAGGACAGCAGTGAGGAAGAACTGTAGCCACAAATACATATGCAAATGAGTTTAAAAAATCCAGGACAAGCTTCTCCTTGAAATCAATGAGAACTTGACATTGGTTTCAGAATCTGCTTGGGGAGGGGGTATTAAGACAGTGCAACAAATAGCTCTGTGTGTGTGTGCCACAGATAACTTGGCAGAGATGGAAAGCCCTTTAAAATTCTCATTTTTACTCTTGACCATTTATAGTCCTGGCTTGCTTTTGGCATTGTTCATAGCTGGGACAAGAGCAACAAACTGCAGCCAAAAAATGAGTACAGAAAATAAGCCTAAATGGCTTGTGCAGCCCAGGCTCTCAAACGCTTCCCATCAGCTCTGTTTGTTGTTTCTGTGTGAGTGCTGCTCCACTTTCTGTTTCTAGAGCCTCAGCACAGCACTGCAGTGTTTGATTGCAGACACCACGGGGGATATTTACTGTCCCACTAATTTGTTTTCATTGGAACAAACCCAGAAATTGAAGCAGCACCTCAGTTCGGAGGCTTTGGGTGAGATTGTTGTTTCATAACTAAGAAGTTGTGCAGGGTTTAAGTGCAGAGGTTACACTGGGGCAGCCTGTGAGGAGCCTGAACCAGCAAAGGACGATTCCTTTTGCCTCGGGGGCCCCAGCTCAGGGGGGTTTTCAGAGTTCTCAAGCTTTGCAGAGTAAGCATGAGATTGAGGCATCCATCTCATCTCTGCCTTGGAGCAGAGTGCTTGGGAAGTGAAGTGCTGGTTTTGTTTTAGCTCCCCAGTTTCCTTGGCAGCCTCAAGTGAGTGCCCAGTGAATGCAGGTCATACTGTGATTTCTGAAGGAGCAAGGCACAGTCCCCGCACTGTGTCTCCTGGCTGTGATGTAGCAGAGGTGGTTTAGCTGTTTATGTTGTCTTTCTCTTTGGCTTGGGGTCTTGCTGATTTGTTTTGTGTCCTCAGCCTTTCCCTCAAGGTTCTTTCACATCTCCTTGGCTGCTGTGGAGAGCACTTTGCACACGTTGACATCCTGTTTGTCTTTGACAGAGGGTTTAGGGCAGCTGAGAAGTTGCTGCACTTCCTGGAGGCTGTGAGCAGGCACTGTATTAATTAAGCATCTTCTAATGTTAAATTAAGAGGCACTGTCTTGCCTTTGTCTTTGCTTTGGGACTGGCCCTGTGACTGGCTCTGCACGTGTGGCTCCTTCTTTCTTGCTCTTCCCACTGCTGGGTGGGAATATGGGTCACAGAGGGGAACTCTGCACAGGAACCACCAAAGGTCACCTCAGGGCACAGGGGTGTTGCCCCTCAGCAGGATCACTGAGCCCTGTGCAGGAATGAGCTGGATCAGCTGCTGTCCTGCACAGGAGAGGTGGTGCCTGGGCACAGGATGCTGGTGCTGGTGTGGGAGACGCTCACCTGTGCTCCAGGTGTGACCTCACTTTCAGAGATGGAGCTCTCTTCACTCTGAAAGCACTTTCTGAGCTGGAGGGTTTGACTGCTGGTGCTGATGTTGTCCTCTCACCTTAAACATTGGTGTGTCAAGTATGAAAACTGTTTTAAAAAGGATCTGTTACAAAGACTCTTCTTGCCTTAACTTGGATTAGAAGGTAAGTGAGGGGAGGCAAAGAAAGCAAAGGGAAGGAGGAACAGTAACAAGCAAAGTACAGCAGATACAAGAGCACTAGAGGAGAGTATAGACTGGTTTAACAGGAGACTGGCTTTATCCTGCAGGACCTGGAGCTCCCTCAGCTGGGAATCTCTGCAGAACCCCAAGCCAGTTGCTTTTATTCTCTGACAGCTGTTCGATGGCTCTGGAGCTGCTTCCCACTTTGTTCCCGGGTTGTCCTACACTAACGGTGTCCTTTGGGTTCTGTAGGTCGCCGACATCAAACGGGTCAACAACTTCATCCGGGAGCAGGACCTGTACGCGCTGAAGTCCATCAAGATCCCGGTGAAGGCGCACGGGCTGCTCACGGAGAGCAGGCGGGAGCTGCGGCCGCTCCCTCCGGCCCAGCCCGGGCTGACCCGCGTGGAGCTGCCGGAGCCCGACCCCGGCACGGGCGGATCCACCAACGGCCAAAACCTCAGCGACTACTTCAGGGACATCGACCAGAGCATCCAGGACGCCGTGCAGGTGGAGGTGCAGCTGAACACAGAGTACTGTGGGGAGCCACTGGAGAGGCCTCTGCCCGAGCCAGGGAAGCGGGACACCGGGAACGGTGCGGACTGCGGGATCCAGTGGTGGAACGCCGTGTTTATCATGCTCCTGATAGGAATTGTGCTGCCAGTATTTTATATCATCTATTTTAAAACACAAGGCCTGGTGGCCCACACCTCCAACACAACAGTAACCTCAAATGTTTCAACAGCTGGATTGGAAGGGAAACTACCACAAAGCTCAGTGGTAGGAAAAAAGTCCTAAGGGGAAACGGGAGACCCCTCCAGTCTCTCCAGCAGTGGTGCCCACACTCTCGTGACTGACCCAAGTGCATCTAAGGGGATATAATGATACAGATAATTTTTATTTTTATAAGTAGCTGCTGATGGAATCCTGAACTTAACTGAAAGTGAGGTGGTGTGATTGTGATGGAAAAATAAGGATGATTTGTTGGTTATGAAGGTCACTGAGCAGGTGGGTTAAGAGTGGGGAACTCTGTTGAGGGAAGGTACTTTGTAGCAATTTATTGTGATTGCTTCAGGTATTTCTTAATGCCGTGTCTGGAAGCAAATCCTTTGCTGCTGAGCTAGAGAGTGCAGTATTAATGTGCTTGGAAAGTTGGGGGTTGTTTGTATTTTAAAGAAACACTTTTTGCTGGAGCAGAAGGGGGGGCTCTTTCACTCAGAGCTGTCATTTTTATTTCTTGCAGATCATGGTGGTTTTGGCTTAACGCTAAACTGATGGCTCTAAGCTGGGTGTGCCAGCCCCTCATCATCCTCCTCCTGAGCAAACCTTTGAGCTGGGTTTATTAGGTTGATGTCAAGCCCCTCCCCTGGATGAGCCCAGACCTCTCCCCTCCATGAAATCCTTCAGAGATGGGATCTCGGTGCCGGACCCGTGCTGTCCCCAGGGTGCAGCCAGAGCCAGCCCTGCCACTGCAGGTGGGCAGAGGGTGTTGGAGGAGGATGTGAGAGCAGGGAGAGGAGTTGTACACTCCTCTCAAGGGCTCTTTTGTTGGCAGGGGGGTGTAGTCAGTATCACTTGTTAAAAATACTAATAATAGTCTATAATGGTGCATCTCAGACACCCATGTCAGTCACAGACCTGATTTCCCTGTGTGCAGATTTCATGGGAGCAAAGTGCCGAGTCCCAGGCAGGGTGCAAGGTCCAGGGCAGAAGTCCAAGGCACAGAAAGAAGCGTAAAGCCTTTCTAGGACAGGACTGAGCTGATTGTGAAGCGTTCTGTGACCTGCAGACGTGCATTAAAAAGCTGCTGAGGGTGTAGGGAAGAGTGGGGGAGCTTCGGAGGGCAGAGGGCTGTGCTCTTCAGGGTGACACTGAACACTGCCTGCTGGGAGGAGCAGCAAGGGAGGCTTTGGGAGCTTTGCTGCAGAGCAGAATTGGCCTCAGAAATTGGATTCATCAATTCCAGGCCTGCAGGCAGAGGTAATTCCAGGCCTTCCTGGAACCAAACACTAAGGGATTTCCACCCCACACAAGCAGAACTGTGTGATGTTACAATGACAACCTGTGTTTCCTGCAGCTCTCAAAAAAAGTGCTCAGGAAAGCCTGAGGGAACCTAATTTTGTAAATGAGGACTGTAAAGTATCTTATACTGAACAAAACCTTGTATTTTTCTTCTGTGAAGAGCTGTATCTCTTTGTTCTGGGGGCGGGGGGGATTTCTTACATTTTTAAATAAAGCCACATGAAATAATAAAAGCACAAGGGGCACAACTTGTGCTTTTTTTTTTTGTTCCCACACTGCACTGTGCCGAGCACCTGCCCCAGGACAGACTGCAGGAACCAGGAGTGGGAGCAGCAGAAGGAAAAGTGAGTGTCCCGAGGGGCAGGAGGATGGGCTGGACCCAGGTTTTTCTTTTTGTTGTAATGTTTTGACCAAGCATTAACTTTTTGACTTGAGTGTAGTAACAAGTGTGTGTATATATCCCCCAAAAAATCCCTGTTGATTAAAATCCTCTTCACAGCAGTTTAAAAGCACAACCTGATGACTGAATGGACACCTGGAGGGGGCACAGACACGCCAGACAGGACCACGTGCTCTGCAAACACGAGAGAGGCCAGAGTACACAGTAAAAGCCAGTATCTTTACTTTAGTGAATGCAGGATACAAATATTTTACAACAACCTCTAGCATTTTTTCTTAACCATTTGATAAAAAGTTCACTAGAATATTTATTGTATATTGAAGAAAAAACAACACATTCAGGGAAAAAAATTGAGATTAACTTATTTTTTTTTTTTCTTAAAAGATTCGTCTCAAGGATGGCAACAAAGTCCAGCTTGTGCCGCCAAACGGCTTATCAGCATTAAACCGTGAACAGCTTCTTTGTGAACTGTTGACTACAAACATTTACCAAATACATAAATCTCTTTTAAAAAAGCCATTTTAAATATAGCAAAGCAGTGTTTCTCTTGCACAGCAAAGTGAAGAAAGGTTCTACTAAGATTTAAATGTTTACATTGGTTAAGTCTTTCTTTCACATTCGGATTTCACTTCTGCCCAGGATCAATTGTTAGGAGTTGTTTTGTTCCTTATTTACTATGTATTTCTTGTGCGCACAGTAACTCGGAGTTCCTGCTGCATTAGTGTCCTTGAGGGGAGGGCAAGGCTAAAGCAGTTCTGACGAGTCCCTGACAACGTGGCGTTCCCAAAACTACCGTGAGAGCTCGAGGATGGAGGTGATTTGTCACAACAGAGCTAAAAATCTTAAATCACTCAGACCTGACTGGGTTCAGCCCAGGGTTGGATTCACTTGCACTTCAGTCAGCAGAGAGAGAATTTTAAAAAAGTATTACTATCTTTTTTTTCACCTGTTGAAATATCTGTGCTATGTCATAATTATTTTTTTTTATAAAACATTTTTTTTTACAATTTCTAAAAAAGTATGTTCCAAAGTGAGTTACTTGTTACTAAAAACCAGGATTCCCATTTCCTCGATGGCAGGAGCTGCTCCCCAAGACGGGAGGGCTGTGGAAGGACATTTCTGCCGTGGCTGGGGCAGCACAGGGCCAGTCCCCAGCCCAGCTCTTTAGAACTGATTCTTTAATACTCTTTTTTAATTCATTGGTGCAATTTCAATACAAACTCTAACCCTTGTGTAGCTTTGTCTTTAAGAAAACAGTAATAGTACTGTTTAAAAACCTGCATAGAAATAAAGACTATTGAGATACAGTCAGCAAAGCCATCTGATAAGGCACACAAGAAAATAGACAGTAAATGTGAATGCAGAACTCCCACTCGGATGTACAGCAAAGGTCATACAGGTGCATAAATCATGGAACTCACACCACTGGTCGGAGCAGCAAAAGGTGCAGGGGCTGGCAAGTGAATTCGGTCACCTGGGAGCACAGTGGCCTGGGGAACGAGTCCCCTTTGCCCTCCTGCCCCGTCAGCCAGTACCATCCCAAACTAATGGGATCCAGGTCCAAGGAAGGGGCGGGATGGGACTGGAGCCTGTGCAGGTTTCCGCTGCCACGACAGGGGATGGGCTGGAGGCCGCAGGTACCACCTGGTCCCCTCTCCCAGCTCCTGTCACAGCATGGGGGGACTTGGAATTACACAGAAATAAAGCCCAAGCAAAAGTTTAATAAATATCAGGGATAACCACGAAGTTTGGATAATCCCACTGCAGTTTCCTCCCCAGCACCAGCACTGCCAGCCTGTCAGTGACCGGGACAGGCGGGATCACGGCCCCAAATCCAACACCAGACCTGCTCCCAGCCCGGGCTCACAGCACAAGGGGGTTCTGGATCCCTCCTTCTATTTCTTGGAAGCAGCAAATTTTTCCCAAACCACTTGCCAACTCCCAAAACCTTTTGTGCTCCTCTGATATGTGTCATTTCCCTATCATGAGAAATTAGGTCAAGTTTTTCCACTGTTTTTTTTTTTTTCTCCCTCCTCAGAAGAGGCAGCTTTAAAATGATGCCTTAAAATGTGTTGTAACAGATTTTTTATATTTATGCAGGATGAACTTAACACCGGATTTTTTTTTTTTTGCCACTTTGCTATTTATATACATATATATAAAATGTATAATGAAGCTTAACCATACAGCACAGAGATTACAACTGAACGGCACACATTCACCACCAGTGAGGGGGCCAACCCCTTTATACACCCTCTGAAAAATCTGGATAATAATATTAATAATAATTAAAATCCAAAGAAAGTACAGTATATTTAACAAAATAGTAAATATTAAACAGTGAATACTCTACTTAATAAGGACCTCGCCTTGTTTCAAGTTGGCGTCAATCCACAAAAATATACTTTTTAATCTGGTGACCGTACAATACATAGGTACTTACACCAAAGGTGATAATATATTTAGGATGCTATATACACAAAGAGTTTGGCTCAAATTTAAATTTACATATAAGTGTTCATGGCTTATTTTTCCCCCAAGGTTCCGCCTGCAAGTTTTTCCTTTTCATCTTTGAAAGCAAAAACTAGAAAGTCAAAATAAGATAAAACTATACTCTACAAAAAAGCTACAACATACAGCTTTGGCTTATATAAATAATTCATAGCAGAATGTGTTCAAAAGTACTGTATATAACTTTATATATAGTCTTCAATTCATTAGGGTATTGTTTTCTTTAATATAAAATATACATGAGCTAAAATCCGTTTCTATATTTTTCAAAGGTATGAACGTAAAAACAAATTTGTCAAACATATTCCAATTATAACTTAATATATTAATTTTATTTTGTTAATGTTCTATTTTCTAGGCTAATATTTTCTGAATATTTCATGCGAGTTCTCTATGTCTTTCACTCATTAAAAAAATCACTTCTTTGACCCAATACACTATTTTTTTTTTTTGCACGTGCAAAACAGGGTTTTTGTTTTTTATGTTTTTTTATTTCTTATAGCATCAGCCCTTCTCCATGCACCCTCTGCAATAGAGACCCATGCCAGGTTGGGTAATAAAAGGTCAGTTTATGTACAGTATTGCTTTCTTCTTCCTGCTTTTCTACTGCTCTGCTGCTACAAAGCAATTATTTCTTAACTACGAGTAACCATGAGCTGAACTAACACACAGGGACGTACTACAGGCGAGCCCTGGGCTGTGGAGGAGGAGGAGACACTGCGGGGACAACGCTCTGCCAACGGCTGGGGCCAAACACAACTCCAGGGAAGTGCCAGACTAGATCAAACCTACGGGATTGTTCTGCTTTACCAGGGGACATCTGCAGCTATACACGAGTTTGTCGTAAGTGCCTGATGATCGGTGTATGCTACACACACTAGCACATATATATGCATGTGGAGATATATATATGCACGTATGTATATACATATAAATATACTTAGTCACGTCCTTATTTATAAATGTGGATATGTCAGGACAGTTCGTGTTGGGGACACCGGGCTGGCGGGGCGGCCCCGCGGGTTTATGTCACCCACGTGTCCATCCTCATTCGTTTTACCGACGGGCTCTCCCGGTCCTCGGCGTTGGGCGGCCGCCCCAGCACCACGGGCGAGTGGAAGTCGCTCCGGGGATCTTCCCGGTCGCTGCCGTCGTAGGAGCTGCTGGAGCTGCTCAGGCTGTCGACCGGGGAGCGCCCCAGCTCCTGCCGCGACGGCGGCGGCGCCGGCGGCTGCTGCGGCTGCTGCGGAGGGAACCCCGAGGGGGTGACGCGGTCCCGGGGAGGGGAGATGGGTTCAGACTTGATGTTGATGTTTTGGTTGGTGTTGATGGAGAGATTGGAACCCTGAGAGATCTGGCTGCCAGTGCTGGGGAGAGAGCATTGAAAGGCACAAGTGAGGAAACACGGAACACACGGAAGGGAAGCGACAATTCCCGTGTGTCTGAGGGGGCTCTTGGGGCTCAGCACCCTCCAAATGCACCTCACTGAAGTCAGAACAACGCTGAAAAAAAAAGGTCTGAGCTGCATTTACAGAAGTTCAGAATGCACAGAGGTATTTCCCACTGCCAAACATTCCAGTTGACCAGCAGGTGCCTCCCTGGTAAGAAGCCGGGCCTGCAGGGACACCTCAGCCGAGGCCTGAGGTGACCAAAGGGACAAACACCCCGACACGGGAAGGTTTGGCAGCACAGATAAGAAGGTCAAATGGGTCAAATGCTGAACATCCCTGGTGCAGGTGGAGGAGGCAGAAGCCCCCCAGGGCCACGGTACTTACACAAGGGAGCTGAGGGCCGCGGGACCGAGGTGGTGCTGCTGCCAGGCAGACACCTGCCCCAAGGACAGCATTCCTGGGGAGTTAAACCCCTGCAGGGCAGACAGGTCTGCACTGGTCAAGGAGTAATCTAAGGGAAAACAAACAAGAGTAATTTATAGATTTATATATACACACACACATGAATAAATACACAAGAGTTTGTGTGTCACACACACATGCAAAGGTTTTCTGCCCAAAACAAGTAAAGGCAATTCCTGATCCACAGGAATCCAAACATGGAAACTGAAGTCTAGGAGAAATCCTCCCAACCTCACAGGGAGCTTAACAGGACAGAAGCCTCCAAATGACAAGTTTTTCTGCACTCTGCTTTCAGTTCCTACATGTTGCTCAGAGGTTCTTCCAAACCACGGGTACAACATATGAATGCATTTTATATATCTAGGTGTGCACCTCACAGTAACACTGGTCACACTCTGAAGGGTTTTGTCTGCAGGGACATTTCAGTATGAAACTCTGGGAAGGCAGGACAAGGGCTGGGTGCCCGAGGGACAGCAGGGCCAAAGGCACTGCCAAGGGACCCCTCAGTGCAGTCTCACATCACACATCACACCCTCCCCTCCACACACTCACTCCTGAATCTCTGACTAAACTGTCATCTCCATATCAAATAAACAAAAGAAACCTCTTTTCTTAAAGTAAAAAACCATCATCAAGTAAAAAACACAACTGAAATGGAGACTGGAAAACACAATCTATCCCCAACCCAGAGGCAGACCCAGCCAGGTATGTAATTTATGGCCTGGTGTGCTCTGCTCAGCTGTGGGGTTTGAATATTTGTTTTAATTCCTAGAATGTTTTAGAACCAGTAACTCAGGTGGTTCTGGCCCTTCTCTACAGAGGGAACACTTCTCCAGCAAAGCACACTATACAAAATAGGATATTTGTGGAAAACTGATACCCAGTGCTTTAATTAAGGATCCAAGAGCTGAATCTCTCCCTTCCAGCCATGGTGAGGAAAAAACCTCATCAATCCAGAAAAACAATTTAGGTATTGAAATTTTATCTTAGTCCTGCAAAGAACTCTAAAGCTGGAATTGCTACGTACGTGGTGACTGCCCTCACAATCCCCAGATGACAGTTTGGTTTCAACATCAAATTTCTTCCTGCAAATCCCCTGAAAGGCTCAATCTAATAGAAATGATTCTTAAGTGTGTGAAAACCACTAAAGGCTGAAAGCTTTGCACAAATTATTGCATTATCAGAGGAAATGGGCTGGGCTGGGCTCTAAAATCACATCCCAGTGATACCAGCACTTGTCCAATTGTGTAGGACACCAGTTTCCACTGTCTTTGCTGCTCCCTGAGGTTCCCACTGCATGTGTGAATCTTCCAGGTTATTCTGGATGAGGGATGCACCCAGTGCTGCTTCCTGAAACATCAGCCTGTGAGGGAACAGAGGGATCTGTCAGGCAACAGGGGAAGCTCAGTGTGGGCCTTCTGAGCAGGGAGCAGAAGGGTTTGAAAAGCCATTAAATCCAAGAGCTGAACAACCTTTGGGGCAAGTCCCAGGTCTGCATGTGCAGCTAATTCACAATGAAATTTAGTTCCAAAGCAAGTCACAAATCTTCACCCTGTCCATGACACTGCTCCTGCCTCCGCCTTCTCCACTCACTGCTTTAGACTTCACCCCCTCAGGGCAGAGACATTTGTGTGGATGTTCAACAGCTGGGCCGGTGCAAACACAGCCCTGGCTGAGGAGGGCACAGCCCTGTCCTTGAGGAGGACACAGTCCCTTGTCCCTGAGCCCTCCTGGCTGCAGCCCTGCCCAGGGCACTGCCAGATAATGAGCTCAAAGGCAAATACAAGAAGTGAGGTGCTTGGCTGGCTAAACTAAAAACTGCAGTGAAGACTTTCAAAGCTAAAAATAGTGGAGAAAAATGTATAAAATCCCATCTTTTGGGGGGGAGTGACCATAAATGAATGGCTGCTCTGTCCACTCCATGTCCCAAAATCAGAGACTCCTGGTGATGCTCCTCCTTGTAGAAAACAAAGATGACAAAAACTCTCACTCAGCTTTTGGGCATTTTGTACAAACCTTGAAGTTTGTTGTGATTTGTCCCAACCTTTGCACAAGAACAAGACCTCGAGGTCACTGCCAACAGCCCAGCACAGCTGGTTTTACCCCTTCCTAACAATGTCATCCCAGGGGGGCTCAGCCTCGGGCAGCAGCAGGTCCTTGCTGGAGCTGTTTGGCACTGGGGCAGCTCCTGCTCTGTTCCTGGAGGAGCCACCTCTGCAGCAGGTGTGTCCCTGTCCCCCTCCCAAAATTCCTCTTCTAACCCATTACAGCACTTACATCTAAACATTTAACCAGACTTCATCTAAAGAACAGCAAACTGGGGAATTATTTCCTTCGCTTTCCTTTCAGTTTTAAACCACAGGGTATTATTTCTGACTTACAGGATTTATTGACACTTCTCTGCAATGTAGTTTCTCTGCAGGTGCAGTTGAAAATCCAACTACACAGCACAGCTCAGTGCTCATCAACCTGAGCCCTTCATGGAAATTATTAGCAAGATTCCTTCCCTGATTACACACAGGCAAATAAACACCCTGAGACTGAAGGGAAAATTATCTCTATGGGGATGGAGAAAAGCAGGAGGCACTTCAGGTTGAAAAAGACTTTTAAGATCATCAACCGCTCCCCCAGCACTGCCAAGGCCACTCACCCATGTCCCCACGTGCCACATCCACGTGGCTTCTAAATCCCTCCAGGGATGGGGACTCCACCACTGCCCTGGGCAGCTGTGCCAGGGCTGGACAACCCTTTTGGTGAAGGAATTTTTCCTAATATCCAATTTAAACCTCCCCTGGTGCAACCTGAGGCCGTTTCCCCTTGTCCTTCCCAAACCAGCACACCACTCATCACTTTTATATCACCCAGTTCCTCATATCACAGCCAGCTTGGGCAAAAGGCAGATTTAAGGTCCTGCAGGAACAGCAGTGTCTGAGGAACAGCAGCTCTGAAGAACCAGCCACTGCCTGAATGTGAGGAATTCCAGTATTCCCGGCTGGATGGCTGGAATGGCACTGCTCTGGGCAATGGATGGCCCTGGTTTGCAGCCTGACTGGAAGCTCCTTCCCCATGAAGTCCCAACATTTACACATTTCATGAGCAAAAGGCTCAGTTTTGCTGAACAAGAGCTTCACTTGGACCCAACGGGAAAACAAACCCACGTGCCACAGAAATGCGAATTTCCTGGGCTTATGAATCCCAAAAAAGCCTCGGCCATCCCAGTCCCAGCCCTGATCCCCAACCTTCCCAGTGTTGTATCCCCCAATCCCAAGCCTCCCCAGTGCTGCAGATCCCAATCCCAAGGCTCACCAGTGTTGTAGGCCGTGGGCATGGCCGAGTACACGAGTCCCTGCGGGGGCAGGCTCGGGGTCGTCACCGACACCACGGGGGTGGCGAGAGGCTGCGTGGACTGAGAACTGCTGATCCTTTGGGTGTTCTGCAAGGGAGGGAAAACACCACTGTGACACCAGGGAGAACAATGGAAAAGCAAAGGAGCATTCCACCTAAATGTGTTGCTGTGCCGAATTTTTGAGTTAGGAAATACGTCCCTCTTTTGATCAGGGTCGATTTTCTAAACAAGCTGAAATATTTCAAGGCAACCAAAAATGATCTTGGCAAACTGAAAGGAAACATTGATTACGGCTCACTGGGCCACTTCCAGAGCATGCAGATGGCAACAGTGTTAAGGACACACAAACAAATGCAATTTCTTAGGGATACACACAACAATTCTCAGAAGTTCTGAAGTGATTTAAGAGTTTTGAGTTTTAAGGGGGTTTTAGTGCAGATGGTGAGGTGCAGTTCCACCAGAAGAGATTCTCCCACTTCACAGTTGTTTATCCAATTTTCCAAATTTCAGCTGCCAGTTTTGACACTGTGCTGACTACACCTGTCCTGAAAGGAACACAGAGATCTTCTAAATTGGTGTTGATAAGACTTCAGTGATAAAATAATCTTGCTGTTCCCATGGTTCCTGAGAAACTGAGAGAGTACTTGTTATAATGCAGAAATGTTTCCAAGCAAATGACACTGGAGTTCACACAGAGCAACTGTGCTTTTTGACAGGGAAAATAGCTAAACTAGATTGTCTCACATTATCTAACTGTGGGCACAACTTCGCTTTTTAATAACAGCCTTTCTTTCCCATATACTGCCATGAACATCTGCAGCAAACACATCACTCAACCTAAGCTGTGACCAAATCTGCTGCTTAGAAAGTTAATTAAAGCCCGTGGTGAACAGCAGCAGCCAGCAAAGCAGCTCTCACTGCACCAACTGCTCCTTGGGCAGGCAACTGCAACCCCTCCTCAGAACAGGGGGTTGGGCACCGTTTGGCCAGGCCAGACACTGCCAGGAACAGGGAATGGGGCAGCTCTGCCCTGTTCAGTGTTACCTGCTGCAGTGGCAGCAGCCTCTACACCCTGCATCCCTCCACTCCTCCATTCCCAGTTCAGGGAGCTGGGTTTCAATCTGCTGGAAATATATTTTTAAGGCAAACCTCTCTCTCTCTACCTCAGAAAAAATATTTGCTGCAAAATATTCTTCCTTCATCTCTTTGGCAGGTTCCATTTCCCACCTTTACAGGACTGAAGTTATGACTTCTTTCCCTTTCCTGGCAGACACAGGGATTTCAGGATCTGCACCACTCCATTTTTTTTCCTCCACTCTGATCTTGAGAGAAGGAGTAGCATTAAAAATGCATCACTCCCTTTTTAATATCAGAAGGAGCAGGTACAGAAATGGGGCTGTGATCAATTTTAAGCTTAGATTTGTGAAGATGAATTGAGGGTTATCAATCTTGTGTCCTTCCCATTTAAAGCAAGAAGTTTGTACCACAGCTTCCACATTAAAACGAGCCACAGCCTCCCAGCTTCCCACCTCTCCTGCTGCTCAACTCCCACCTCTGAGCCTCCCAAGGATTTGGGGGCTCTTTGGCATCAGCTGCCAAACACACACCCTGGCAGATGAGCCCACTGTGCTCCAGAGCTCCCAGATTTCAAAGCTCCCAGGGAAAGTCCCACCGATTTTCTGTAATTGATCCCTTTAAATCACTTTAGTACTTCTGAAAATCCCCCCCAGACCAAGTTTATCTGGCACAAAGAGATGTTATTAGAGCAGATTTTTGTGTCTGTCAGGAATTGACCTTTCTCCAAAGCTTTCTTGGATGGCAGCCTATAAAGTTGGGATTACTGTATAATGGAAAAGTAAAGAGGAATATACTGGGAAACAATCCAAACCAAAGAATTTCCCCATGGGATTTTTTTCTTTCTTTCTTTTTTTTTTTTTTTTTGAGTGGCTAATAAAGGTGGTTTTCTGAGGTAATTTATTTCTGAATATAATTGCTGAACACTAAGAAATATTTAGATGTGCCCAATATTGGTTGTACTTGGAGGTCCATGACAAATTTCAGGGTATTTTAACTGTTTTAGCTGGTGCAAATGTAACAGGAAAAATTCAGTATCTTTATTGTTTATTATTTTTATTTATTATTGATTATCTTATTAATTATTCTATTATGCTACACTGCCCTTCGTGTTCAGTGCTCAGTTCCAACCTCACGGAACGGGTGTTCCCAGACAGGATCTGGAACTGCCCAGCACTGGCACTGGCAGCAGGGACTGGCATAACCAGAGGCAGAGCAGTGCAGGTGCAGTTGGTGCCTCCTGAGCTGTTCTGAGGCAGACACATCACCTTTCCTTTGTGTGACTGTTCCTCCCCTCCCGGCTGAGCCAGGCTTTAAAGCCACTAGATGGCCCACGCTCCACACGGGATCCCAGCCCCAGGCACTGTTACATCCCACTGCAGAGCAGTTTGGGCAATTTTGGGCAGGCAGCAACACCTGAATTCCTGCAGCATTTGCATTAATTCCAATTGCAACGATATCCCGATTCAGTGTTTTGACACTGAGCTTTACTTCTTGCACTGAAAACCAGACGCTCCCCTGAAGGGAGAGGAACATGTTTGACTGTTCCATGAGCAAATCACCCCAATAAAAACTTCAACAGTGACCATTTTCCCTCACTTTTGTAAATCAGTGTCTGTGTTTAAGGTAACAATCAACACCAGCATGCATTCAATCACGGCACTGATCTAAATCACCACATTTTCCATGCTTCCATGCAATTAGAGCCTCCTCTGAGCAACAGGTCCATGTTCAGAGACAAATCAAGGCCTGCCATGGGCTGATTTTGATTTCTCTGTGAATCTGATGCAGCATCTTCTGCCTGCTTTGTGCCACAGCAGCTGAACAATTTGCAAATGGCTCTAAAAATAAGTCAGGAATTATTTTAGCCTTACTTTGATTTTCCAGCCAGAATGCCAAATGTTCAAACCTTTGTGGGGGGGGAGGAGAAAAATACCCAAATCCCCAGAGATTCCTTTCAAAAGCAGAATATCTTTCCACTGGGAAAAAAAGGTAGAATTATTCATTTGCAATCCTCTGTTCCTTTTGGTAAACAGGGAACACCCCCCTGTGGTTTGATAATCTCACGCAGGATGAAATAATTCCAACCTCCAAAAAGGTGACCTCACCAGCAATGATGTCATCTCCTTGAAAATAAGAGAAGTAACACAGGGCTTGTGTTACAATCTCAAGAACTTCACAAGTGAAGCCACTTGCTAAAAATATTCCAATAATTTAGGGGGTGGGAAGTGGTTATTTATGTTTTACATAAAAGCCAGGACATATCCTACACACATGGACAGTTACTTTGTAAGGCTCTTTTCCAATGTTCCCTCCAAGAAAAACAGAAACATTTTCAGGAAAAAAAAAATAATTCAAGTTTACAAATGGCAAGAGCTGACTTTGGATGTGTTTTCAACTTGAATTGCTTGGGTTTTGAGTCTGATAAAACAAATGTATTTTTGTCTGCTACCAAGGGAACACTGGAATTATTTAAAATATGTAATGAAACTACAGTTAAAAAGCTGTAGTGAAAGACATTTCCAGCATCTTGCTGTCTCTCAGCAAACAGCAGCCCCAACTCACCAACTCCAATTCATCCTCCTCCGACTGTACTCAGCAAACAAGAGGGATAACACAGTTACTAAAAATAGCATTGCTTTTCAAATGACAGAAAAAAATCACATTTGTGCTTCAGGATTTTTTGTCATTTTAATTAATAATGTGAATTTGACACCTAGACCTGTAAATAATGCGACAAGAAATGTGATACTTCATGAAATTCTTGTCAAATAAAAGCTGTGTATTAAAAGAACATGTGGCTTTGGGGAAATGAGTGCAGGGAGAGCTTGGAGAACACAAGGACACCAACACAGGCAGAGGTGGAGCAGAGCAGTCTCTGATCCAATAAACCAGCTCAGCAACAAAGTACTTGTCAAATACAACCACCAACCCGGGCCAACAATCTCCACTCTGAAATCCCTCCCCAGTTCCCTCAAAAACACAGACAAAACCAAAGCTGAACATCATGTTGTTGTTCTTCACAACACGACAGTAAATAAGTGTTGTACCTCACTAACATCAGACCTGCATGAGCAAGATCCTCTTCTTGTTTCTGATTCTAATTAAAAGTGTAATTTCCATTTTAATGATCAGCCAGTGTACTTCCTATCTCTCCTGCACTTCAGTATTCCTAGAAAAACCTAAAACTTCAAGAATCATTACTCTGAGGCTAATTACAGCTTTTGTTACTTGGATTAATTTGGTATTATTCACCATGAATACCTGTAACAAATGTAAGCCCTTGTGGTGGCTTAAAAACAAACAGGAATTATGCAGAGAGTACTTGTGCTGTTTATATCCTGCTCCTCCTGGTTATGGGCCATTCTTCCACACACAGAGAGGTTGAGAATTTCTACATGACAGCAAAAGACCAAGACCAAAGGATCTGGGCAACTAAATTAAAGGAAAAATGGACTAACCCTTCCTGACAGACCAGTTCTGGGCCCAGGGCCGTGGTTGCCTCATGGCTGACACGAAACTCGTGTGCTATTCCCAATCCAGGCTGGACAAACATCACTGCCAACATGCCAAAGTGCCCAGCAGCTCTGACAGGCACCTCAGCTCCTTTTCATGCCCTGGATGAAGGCACAACACCCACTGAGGACGCCCAAGGTCACGTTCCAACACCCCACATCAAACACGCGCCTCTCCCAGACCATCGTTACCACTGAAGCTGCACTTCCCATCCTTCCCATCCCACAGCCATTACAGCCCGGGAAAAACAGGTACAAAATGTGCTTCAGGGCACGTTAATAGAGCTCACATCACCACTGAGATCCTCCACAGAATAATGCACAACCCTTTTTAAAACCCACATCCTCCAAACCAACAGAGTTCTCGGTACCGAGTCGGTCAGATCAAACCACCAAAATCTCAGTCTCTGTCTTTAGGGCTGTGCTCCAACCCTGTTTAGGTCAGACTTATTTTACACCTTAAAAAATTGCTTACACATGTAACAAATTCCCCAGGTCACAGTTTATAATTTGGACTCTCAGCAGTGACGTTTCAGAGCACAAACCCCTCTCTACTCCTGCAGCCCGTGGTGAGCAGGGGAGGCAGAACACCCCTTTTCCACAAAGCCACTCCCAGAACTTAAGGAACTCAAAAGCTTCAGAAGTTTGAACTCACCAGAGGTGGCATCATGCCCTTGCTGGAGGGGGGGATGACCACACGGAGGTCGGGTTTGCGGTTGTTCATGCCCAGGTTCCCTCCTCCGGGGGGAGGTGGGGACTTCGTGGGCATCACCTTGCCCAGGCCGTTCCCACCACCACCGGTGCCCAGGAGACTTGGAGAAGCTCGAGAGTTCACAAACCCATTTCCTGAAAGGGCAAAAAACAAATGACCTGTGAAGGGGAAGGGGCAACAACACAGAGTTCTGGTGCTTTTGTACCGATTCTGAAATATTTATTTTGCAAAACTTCCGATAACGAACTTCCCGCAAGAGGCTCCGCATCGAATAATCGAACCGGCCCACACCGCTCTGCCCAGAAATCAATATGGAAAGGGAATATCACTCCAAGGGCAGCTGTGGCAGCTCAAATGCTGAGAAGAGCAAATTGCCAAAGAACTGTTTCTAATAACATCCGTTGGGTCTGGTTTGCCCTCTGAATTTCCTCCAGGCTGAGCTTGCAGAAAAGTGAGGGCTTCTGCACAGGCCCACTTGGGTCCCCATCCCCCCCGGGACAGGAACTGCACTGAATTTTGTTGGTGAGAATAAAAGAAGTCAGCTCTCCAAGTGCCTATTTCTAAAATGCATCCTTCAGGTGTCTTCAAGATCTGCAGGACTCATTTCAGGATCATCAGTATACACTGATTATTACATTCAGCAACAAGGAGGAGAACAAATCCTCTCCCTTCAGGTTCTATCCAGCTACACATGTCATTTACGCCCATCAATTTGTTTTACACATTTACTCTTGGTACTCATTTTAAGTGGAATTAGACCAGCCAAAGCCAGCAGGGCTTCAGCACTGAAATGCTCAAGGCCTCAGCTCACACTCAAAACTGATCAGAAATAAGTAAATCAGTGAAGTGCCCAATATTCTACTTTTCTGTACTGACAAAAGCACCAATCATGTTAACCAAAACATTTCCCTCAGAAAAAAAATTTCAAGCCACGTTCCAGTCACAGATTCATATTTATAGCAACAATCCCCCAAATACACACACCTTATTCAGCTGCAAATAGGAAATAAAAAAAGAAAAGTTGTTAAGGAGAATTTCGCAACAGGGAACCCCATAGTTCACCCTACAGAACCTGAGTGTGTATAAATAAACTCAATTCATAGTGAGATCCTGTTTGCACCAACACTGCAGTTCTGAAAGCAGCTTTTATAGTCCCAACCAGGGGAAAGTCTGTGAGACAAAGTTCACTGTGTGGGAAATTCTCCCCTAATCGCCTGTAGGGCCACACGGGCACGGATTTTGTATTATTATTTTAATTTGAATAGGCTCCTATGCCCAATCCAATTTTATTGCATTAAATACATATTAATCTAAAAGCAATTAAAATAAGGAAGTTGTCAGTGTCACATTCTACCCTCTGTAGCAACATTTTAAATGCCTTTAAAAGCTTAGCAAGGAGGAAGAACAATAACATGGATCAGGAAGAGCACAACACTTCCTGAGGGTGACTGGGATATTCCACGTGCATTGAGAACTTCAGTGTGAATTCACCAGGATAATGGTGAGGAAACCTCTGGATTTCCTTGCTCTGTGGACTTCCTACTGTGCCAAAAGCCTGACCATACAGGGACAAAATGAGATGTCCCTGGAGTTTCCCAAGGTTGGCAGAGCAATGAGGAGTTACTCTAATTTAGAACCTTCCTGAGGCATTTCTATAGGAGATATGGGAATGTGACTTAGAAGTCATGGGGGGGAAAGAAGGAACACAGCACAAAAGTTTTTTATGTCAGCATTCCTTCTGTATTAAAAACCACATCAAAACCCCATTTTGTGATTAAAGTATCTACATTCCTCAGCAGAAAACAGCAGAATTCATTCAGATGCTCCTGTTAGTGATAAAATTTACTTGGGGTGGCTGATGGAGCTGAGAACACACACTAGAGCTAAATATGCTCTTGACTGGTAGGAGAAAACTCACCTCAGCTGGGTCACATGGAAAAAACAATGGGCCAGAAAGAGAAATGAAGTTCTGTGCTACCCCTGAGGCTCCTGAAACTGAGACAGTGTTTGTAGAATCCTGATTTTGTTCAACACAAAGTTATGCATCGATTCCTGTCCATCCTAAAAGAGTGCAGCATTAGTTCCAGACAACCTGCAGGGCACCAGAGTGCCAGAGGAATCTTACACAATGGACAGGTTAAAAATCAAATGGATCTGGAAAAAGACATGAGGGAGGAAAAATCTTAGCAAATGGCATAATTTCCACCAAATTACATCTAAAGCTTTGTTACAGCACCTCCCATTTTCGGCAAAAACGCCGGAACATTTAAAGAACTTGCTGTTATAACAGAAGTAGAGTCTGGGCTTCAATGTAATAACAAATTTTATTACTCACTGGGCTGTCAGTGATACCTTTCCATGCCAAGGCTGTGGTGACCTGGGCCGAGTTTGAGCTGCACAACAATCCCCCTCTGTGCAAACAATGGGGTTCTGTACAGAATTTACAGCACTTTGGGCCATCCTATGATCCCATTTCCTGTCCTCTGTTTTCAAGTATTCCAGTAGCCCCTGTGTTAAATCTGGACAGTGTCTTTCTCCCACACCCAATCCAGTCATTTCCTGAGCCCTTATTCCAAGGCTCTGCCAATCCTACAGAAACATTTCATGCTTTCAGTGGTGCTGTCAAAAACAACAAACTCCCTGCCACTGCCTCCTCTGCCCAGTGTCACGGGGCAGCAGGGCACAGTTAGAGCACTTAGTCAGACAAAAGGCTGAGCAGTTCTTAAAGGGAGTGTTTAGAATATATTACAAAACCCAAAATAATGCCCTAAGTGTGCAGCACTGTGGGTATGAACCCAATTGCAGCCCTTTGATAAGAGCTGGCACTGAACACTCAGCAAACACTGGAGTGTCTCTATTGATTATCTGAAGATTCATATGCTGGGGCTGCAATAAGACTGTAGAATGTTCAGTTTGAGTATGAAGCTTCAAGCCTTTTTCCCTTTTAATAATCTAATAATAAAATCAAATTACAAGTTAAGAGTGAAAGGGTAACCAAACACACGGTATTTCTTAGAGCAAGGTCAGCAGCCAGAAAAAGATAATGAGCACAGGATGATGCAACTCCAGGGCTGTTTGCCAAGGGGAGGCTTTAATAACCCCATAAATTCTACTCATTACTCTGGATAGTACAGAAATTGTTTCTACCCCACCCACTGTAGGTCTTCCCCAAAGACAATACTTCACATTATCAAACTGAACATGGAACCGGAATATAAAATCCTGCCTATGTGTGAAAATAAGACTGTTTTTACTCCCGTAGGAAGAGTTTTATTTAACTCTAATTCCTTAAAACAGACGTGAAAGCATGTTCAAAACAGTCCTTTGGAAAACAGACACCAGTGCAAAGATAAGCTCTCAATTATATGAATCACAATTTAATTAGATTTTATGATAACAAACCCTGCCAACCCACATTAACCCACTTCTTGCTCAGACACAAAGTGTTTACTTTTGAAGCAACTTCTTTTCTGAAGAGAAATGTTACAACCCACCCATTGCAGCAACTGCATCTTCTGCCTTCAGAGACATAATACAGCTTAATCTCATTTACTGTCCTGCAGCCCAAGACACAGCATTCAATTACATGAGCCAGACTCATATTTCACTCTATAAATCACATCAGCTGAAACAATGAACACACGTGGCTGGAAAGTACTCCATGTACTTATTACTACTCAAGGAATAAATTACAGGCATTGATGCCATTAATCTTTTTTTTTTTTTTTTGTGGTTCACCTTTGGAGAAACTGGACAGTTATACAGAGTCCTGGAAAATAATGGTGGGCAGGCAGCTAAGCCACGTAAGGTAAAGCAAAAATAAGGATGGTGATAAATATTTATGCCTCCAATGAGATCATAACGACCCAACAAACATCACACCATTAGAAGTGAACTGAAAATTGGGTTTGCAAGAAGCATCAGGAGGCATCAGGAGAGCAGATAAGATCTGCTGAAGGAAAACATCAACATGTAAAACCTCGGGCGGGGGGAACATATTGCAAGCAAACACAACAACAGCATTTCTACGTGCACTAGCTGCTCAATCTGTTTACTCTGGGGTTTAGTAGGGCAGATTTAAGTAGAAATTAAAACCATTTTCAGGCTCTGCACAGCAATCACTGCTGATTCTGCCACTGTTTCATAAAGCCCAAGTTCTGTGTTAGCCTTGGAAAGAGTTCACGATATCTCAAGGAAGCTGCAATAAATGTGTTTCTACTGATCTTTACACAAATCAATGTGTCAGATAATACCACTAGAATTAAAAGATACCTTTGACAGTAATGTAAGATCTTGAAACATCTAACATGTAAGATTTATACTTCTAAGGCAGTACTTTAGATATTAAAAGGCAGCAAAGAAAGAAATACACATGACTAAATGTCAAGGGAATGCTTACTCATGTTACAAAACTTAAAAAAACCTTCATTTCCCAGGTTGGTGGAAATTTTTTTTGACTGAAGCTACATAAAAGGAGAAAGAATTTTCAAGGATATTCAGAATTTAAATGGGCTTCCTTCAAACCAGGGTTATTACTCAGGATGCAACAGCAAATCTAAATAAAGGCATCATGTTTTTGTGCCCGTGTGAAACATGAGCAGTGGCAACTGGATGTCTTTTAGGTCTTTTGTCAACTAATCAGTTAACAGCTAATTAAATAAGAGTTTAGTTTCTGAACTTTCTGGTTTCTGTGTGTCTACACAAAGCCATGTAAAGAATGGCCAAGGATGGAGAAGTGGTGTGTTTGGAACACCTGAGGATGTGTGGCACTGTATCCTGGGCAAAGGGACGTTATAGAAATGTTGATAATTACTTTAATCCAGCTGGGAAATTAATAATTTGTTATATGTATGGCAAATTCTAACCAGAGCTGTCGTGGACCTCTCAGCAAATCAGCAATTACAGTAAGATAAGGAACACACACGAGATGAAATTTCAACTCCAATCCAAGGGTAGTTCAGGGGCTGAACTGACCTCATGCAGATGGGTGGTTTCCAAGGACAAACAGCTACAATTTAAAATGCTTTCTTCTACCAGCATGTTTTTAATGCTGATTTCAGCCAGTCATCTTTTCTGTGAGCTGATCTAATCACAGGGTGATGGATGGATCAACCTTTGTTATGTGCTGACAACAGTCCAGCAAAGGAGAAGGGTTCAGCCTGCACCCTGCCAAACAGCTGCTCTGTGGCCACTTCCAGGGCTCCTTTTCCATGAGGAGAGCTGGGAAGCTGGAGGAGGGAACAGGCTGCTCTCATGTGCTTCGAGGATCCTTCGACTCCTTCCTTGGAGAAGGGTGAAACCCTGCCTGTTGTACTGACCTGTGCAACCCTAAAGATCAGAGGAGGGCAAAGCACGATGCCTCAACACCAGTGACAGGACAGAGCAGGAGCCTTTGTGCACTCAGGGTGACCAAACTTTGTGCAGTCCCAGCCCTTCCAACACAAGGGAGGAGCTCTGCCCAGTGAAAGGCCACCTGGGACAGACCCTGCCTGTCACACTGAACATCACAACCACCACCAGGAATGCACAGCCTTAAGCAGGAACATGCTCAGGGGTTACAGCTGCTTTCCCAAGGTGGTCGTGTCCCTCAACCTGGTGGCTGATGCAGGTGACACAGGCTGGGGAGTTTGACTGGGGGGAGAGGCACAAGAAATCTCTTTTCTTAAGGGAGAGGCTGGGAGCACGAGTGCAGGAAGAGGTGTTTTTCAATAGTTGGATCATTGGGGTGTCTCTCATTTAATAAAGCAAACACACCAGGAAGATTTGCACAGAGAGCTGGTCTGTTATTGAAGCCTTCTGTGCACTCCCCAGCTGCAGGGGAGTCAGACTCATGCAAGACCAAGCTCCAGGACTCCTTTACCCTCAGACACACACAGAAAGCTCTCCTCATCAGCCAAGCCCTCAAGACAAAGACCATTTACAGGTGTGGCTTTTCACAGTTCTCTGTCTTGATCCCCTTCTGGCAACTCCAAGCAGTTTAAAGGTGTGGAGCTGCCAGTGGCACCTCTGCACAGCCCCTGCCCAGGCCAGGATAAAACACCACACAGGAGCTCCCTTAGCAGAGACCCAACGGCTCACAAGGCACAGCTTTGCAAGCAGGTGTATCCTCCAGCTCTATTCCAAAGAAATTCAGTATTCCCAAGGTCACTTCTCATTCTCAGAACCTGAAGATTAGTGAGGACATTAGAGAAGATGCAGTTGTGCAATAAGGAAGAGAAATTCAGTGCTCAAGCAGAGCTCTTCCTTATCCATTCTCCTGAGGATAAAATTTTAAGAGGAAAGACAATTTTTCTTTCTTTTTACTTCTTTTCTAGAAGATTAACTGGGTCCATAACCTGGGTTACTGACCACAAGGGCTACTTCACTGACAAAGAAATGTACAGACAGATAATACTGTGTATTTGCAAAACCATAAACAGCCTCCACTTCCAAAAATTCCTTAAAAATCGCATGGGATGGGGAAGAACTTATGTCTCAGGGTTTATGGCTTTCCTGCAGCCTTGGCAATGAAAACCAGCTCAGGTCCTTGGCGTGGTTCTGGTTCAGTGCCATAAGTTAAAAGTATGGAAGAAAAAGTAGAGGTTGGATAACTGTGGAACTTCTGAGCCCTTCTCAGTCCTAAAGGATGGGACAAGGCCACTGGAAGTGCATTTCACTGGCAGCCTCTGGATGAGTGAAGGTATGACACCAAATCTACTGGGACAAAGCAAAGCAGACCTTCTCCTGGCAAACTGGAAGGTGATCCATCCCTCCAGTCCTTTCAGTTCAGAGTTAAAGAAATTCTCCCCAGTATTTGGGTGCTCATGTGAGGCTACAATTTGCTCAATCAGAACCCCCAGCCCTTTAAAAGGACTAATACCAGACATATAATATATGTCCAAGCCATGATGATGCTGACAACAAATAGCAACTTCCACACATCCTGGTGCTACAAGACTCCTGAAGCATCTTTGATGCCCATCACAAATTGCACAGGGTTTAACACTGACCAGGGGCAGCACTGTCATCAAAGCTCTGCCTCAAAAACCTCTGATCTGATTAACAGAAAAAACAAATTAGCTCAAAAGCAAGCACTGTCATAATGCTGGACATTCTTCCCCTCTCAAAACCGATCTATTTGCCAAGTAAAAATCTTCAGCAAGTGTTTTTTATGTGGTGGGCAGGATTTTAAAAATATTACAAAAATGAGAATGCTTTTTCAGAGCTGTGACAGCTGCATGTGAAGTAAGCTCTCAGTATTATAAAGTGATCACAAAATTTTCTGTTCTGGATATAAAAAACCACCTACCAATCTCTGCTACAACACGCAGATATTTTTACTCAAAGTTATTTTCCACAGAAAAACTGTTAAGTTGGCAGATTGACTGCTAAAGCAAA